CAACCTGTGCATTTGTAACCATTAGTATGATCACTATTCGCGCTACATATTCCACCACCACCATGTGCTGCATTACAGTCAATCGAGTTAACAGCACACGGATTGCCTATAGACGACAATAAAATGTTATTTTGTCTTGAATAGAGTATCGTCACTCACCAGGACACGATCCATCGAGCACATCTGCGCCATAAATACAACCTGTACATACATAACTTGCGGTATGATCACCCTTCGCACTACACGTTCCACCACCACTATGTGCTACATTACAGTCAATCGAGTTGACAGTACACGGATTACCTATAGGAGACAAGGCAGCAAATGTTATTTGAGCTTGAACAGATTATTGTCACTTACCAGGACATACTCCGTCGGTCACATCGGCACTATAAGTGCAGCCTATGCATGTATAACTATCGGTCCCATCAGTCTTTGCTTGACAAATGCCACCACCATTTGCTGAATTGCAGTTAATCGACCGAATAGTGCACGGATTGCTTGTAGAAAGCAGTGAAGCAAATGATGTTTTCTTTTCAGCAGAGTATGACGACACACCTGAACATACTCCGTTGGTTACATCGGCACCATAGTTACAATCTGTGCATGTGTAGCCGGTGTTTCCACCGCCAATCGGTTGACAAGTGCCACCACCACCTGCTGAATTGCAGTTAATCGAGCCGTTGCAAGGACTGCCTATAGAAGAACGAGAATAAAACAAATGATATTTCCTTGTGAAGTGAAATAAGACCACTTACTTGGGCAATGTCCATTGATCACACTACCGCCATAAGTACAACTTGTACATGTGTAGCCTATATTTCCACCGCCAATCGGTTGGCATGTGCCACCACCACTGGTTGAGTTGCAATTAGTCAAGCCGTTGCAGGGATTGCCTATAGAAGAACGAGAAAGTAACAAATGATGTTTCATTTTTAGTAGCATATGGGTGCTTACTTGGACATGTTCCGTTGATCACATCAACACCATAAGTACAACTTGTGCATACATAAGTGCTGGCTGAATTGTTAGCTGAAATGCAATTACCACCACCACCTGAAGCGTTACAATGGATTGAAGAGTTGCACTGTATGGCTAAGAAGAAATAAAAAGCGCAGTGAAGTTTTGTTGCATTTAGTGTATGAGTAACAATTAAGCAATGTTTACAGTAGGAGTGTCCTTTGGACAATGTATATTCCATTCACACCACAGAATTATAAATTAACTCTAGTCAGTTCCACTCAGTTCTAATTTCAATTTCCGTCATATCAGTCAACGACAAGTCAAGAATTGGAAGAGTATGGGTGTGAATTTGGCTGTATTTACTTTTGAGATTCACACTTATACCCACATATACACCTACGCAGCTTTCATTCTATAGGACTGAATCTATTAGAGTAAGTCGAAGTGTTGAGTATGTATCTAGTATATAAGAATTAAAAGAAACTACAATAGTATGAAGGAATAATCGAAAAAGCATACTATTCAGTATATTTTGATCAGCCGCATATATATATACAGGGTCTTTCACAATTATAAGACCCTCTTTTATTCTTAAAAATGATGCTATCTGATATACTATTGTGAGGGAAAAAACAACTGAATCGGTAAATAAATAGAAAATATATTATTCAGCAAATCAGATAAAATCCTTATTCTTTTAATTTCAATGAAATTTCTTGACGAAAAGGGGATTGTGCTACCGTATAAAGAGACTTAGAAACCTCAGTAGTTGCGTGAATACGTACCTGATATTAGTTGTGGATGGGTGATTGCCGCTACCGAACATAGTGTTAATGAAATCGAAGTCACCGTACTATTTGTCATTGTAACTAATATTGTAAACGATTGAAATCGTGTTTTAATTTCTGATATAATTTTGTCGGTGAGAGTTTGTCGACATTTTGATGTGCTACATATTTTAGAACTCTTAGCTGAGAGTTGAATTAAGAACATATTTCCTGTATTATTATTTTGACAATTGCAAGAAGTTGTCCTACAATAATATAAATATAACGACGTGAGAAATCAACTGATAAACTCACTCTCGCTTCTTTCTTTTTTTGTTCAGTAATGAAGCAAAATCAGCAGTCAAAACATTGAGTTTACTAGCGGGCAATGCATTATTGAACTAAAAATTTTAAAAAAATCAGATTAGAATGAAAGAAAAACAACTTACCTGAATACTCAATGCGTCTAGATCGGTTGCGTCATAAATTGACACGTTCTGTATATTTGTGGTAAGACACAATTCAAATAGATGCGAATCTTAAACAAAGAAAAAAGCTTTATCTACGAAATGAAATAAGAATCATTAATACAACGATCCACTTGAACATTAACTGGGTTGTCAGGAAGATATACAGGAATGAGAGATAAAACAATCGTTCCTGCAAAACACCAGCAACATATAAGGCCACAGAAAAGAACGATTAAAGACGTCCATAAAGTAGCGTACATTTGCCTGTTACGATTCATAAATGTAACTTCCATTAAATTTACCTATATATAAAGAAGAAAAGTTGTATTAATAAATTTCTCAATTCTCTTACATTCAGTTGATTTAAACAATACTATTCAAATATAATGCTTAGTGGGTAGATCGAAAGTTTCGAGACAATATATGTGATATTCTTCAGGCGTTTAACTGCCCTTGGAAAGGGTGAAGAGTAATGAATTATAATCAGAGTTTTGTGCTCTATCAAACTATACATAAGATGAAGTATATGAGGGTGTTGATCTGTGGATGAGTGTAGGTGTGAGTGCCTGTGAATGTCATCTTCTTTGCTTTCATATCTACTCTGACACACCCACACTCACACCTACATCCACTCTCACTATCTATCTATAATTATATATACACATCTATATAACTAGCGAATATTTATTTCTAAATTCCTAACCTTACATGGGTGAGGAAGTATATATACAAATCTATAAAGCAAAATCTATTTCTAAATTTATAAACTTACATGGGTCAGGGAGTATATATATTTATATTTAAATGAAATGAAATCTATTTATAAATTTGTATACTCACATAGGTGAGGGGGTATATATCTATATAAATAAAATAAAATCTGTTTCTAAATTTATAAAATTACATGGGTTAGAAAGTATATATATTTATATTTAAATAAAGCAAAATCTATTTCTAAATTTATAAACTTACATGGGTTAGGGAGTATAAATATAAATAAATAAAATATAATCTATTTCTAAATTCCTAAACTTATATGGGTGGATATATATATCTATTTATCTGCAATTTTATATTTATATTATAAGTTGAATTAGACATTTATTCATAATTTCGAAATATATTTAAGTTTTGGATTTTTAAAATAATTCGGTAGTCATTCAGATATGATGGAAGTGGTCCCTACTTCTGGAACAGTATTAACAACTTATTCGTTTATACTACGCGTAAACAGTTAATGATATTCGTTAAACACAGTACTTACCTTTTTTTACTGCGTATAGGATATTTGATTTCGAATGTGAAAATATTAATAATATTGGTTGATTTTATACCAACTGCTCCTTCACATCTCCCTTTCTTATTCTTCTGATTTTGCTTTCGTTATTTTTATCTATCCTTTGTATTTCGTAACGCTTGTATGACTCAATAATCAAGCTATTACTCATCTTTTCGGATTAACCAGTATATTACATCAATCCCGAGAGAATATTTGGGCGTTTTATTGATAATAAAAACATACATATTGAAGCATTAATATTTTCGGCACCTACAATCGAAATACAGAAATTTTGTTTATTTTCTATTTCTAGAAAAACTCCTGTATAATGTTTCTTTTAGGTGCTAAAATTTATATTTAAGAACATTGACGTCGCTTTGTTCAACATATATAAAAATGAAATTCTACGAAAAGACTATCTAAGAACCAGAGAATTCAAAATAGTTAAAATAGACATGTTGTACAATGCTTTTGTGGAAAAAGAAGGTGACGAAGTGACTGTGGTGAATACGACTTGACCTTTACCCAGATTTAATTTTTCAAAATCTTATATTTTATTCTCGGTGTAAGGGTGGATGTGGGTAACAGAAAAGTGTAACACTCACACTCTATATGAACTGAATATTAATGAATTTATTTAAATTACGATTAAAATCAAAATTAATTATTTATTTTATTGAACGCATTGTCTCTTGTAAAGAGAAAACCTTGAAATTGCTAAATAAAATTCAAATTTCAATAAGTTTCCAGAGTTGATCACGTTTGATTTTCTAATTAGATAATCGATTTTGTTATTTCTATTCTTTTGAATATCGTATTCTTAAGAAAATAGAACTTCACCTATCAAGACATATGAGGACTCTTAGAATATCCTTTCTTATTCTTTATAAATTATTTTCATACTTATAGTGTATCAATTTATTTCTCCTAGCGATATGGTTTGTAGTTAAAAACCTCATATCAGAAACTTAAAACTTTATTTTCTGCGTTATTTTTATTTTTTTTTACAAGGACGTTTTCGATACAGTCTGATGATCACTGTTTATTTTTATAATCGGAGCACATGCTTTTTTTTATGTTAGACAGTAATTATCTCTGTGTTTGATTTTTCTTTCTTCATACGCAAAATAATCGATGACGATATCATATATTTTACTGAGAGATACACAAGAATGATGAAATCTTCGCAACAGTGTATATTTTTCATCATCAAAGATGCATAAAGGAAAAAGAAAAATTGAAAAAAAATTACTAACAATTTATTTCTCGAGCCAATTTGATTTGCAGATAAAATTCTAATATTAGAAAATTTTAATTTTATTTTTTGTCTTGTTTCTATTGTACATGCCCATATTCTCAAAATCGCCTAAAAATCAGTGATTAATTGCCGATTTTGCTCGATTATTTCGACGATTCTTGTGATAAATCTTGAGTATCTAGCCCCTTGCCCTTTATTATACCAATATTCTATGCCATTTCATGGATTTTAATTTAATTTTACTCTCTTGTTTAGAATCTTGGTTTTTAAGTAGTATTATTGAAGATTTTATTCAAAATATCAACGATTATATTATTTAATAGAAAGAAAAACACATGAAACTAAAAAAATCAGTACGCTAAGTCTATAATTATTTGAGCAGACATTCAAAAAAGGTTTTACAGTTTGATGATTACTGTTTATTTTTTTAATCGAAGCACGTGCTTTTGTACGATAGACAACAATTACCTTTGTGCATAATTTCTGTTTCTTATTTATACGCAAAATAATCGATGACGTTATCATATATTTTACTCAGAGATATCTCACAATGGTAAAATCTTCGCAGCAATGTAAATCTTTTATCATCTAATAGACATAAATAAGAAGAAAAATTCGAGAAAGATTTATGTGAGTGTGAATTGCTTGCTAATGTTTGTCACAAATACAAGACCGGTAGAAGCAGCTGTGAATTTTGCTTTTATTCGCTCTTGATTTCATACGACGATGTGCTTATGCGTCGATCAATACAAAATGTAGTAGAGTTTTGAATCTAAATTTGTTGTTGGGTTGTAATGCTAAATAAATATAAATAAAATTTATATATTTGTAAAATGATGCTGGTTAAATTGCTTTTTTTTGAAAACAATAAACAAGCAAATGTATAATATAAGAGTAAAATATGCTCATGAAAAAATGTTTATTTCAATGAAATTTTTGTATCAATTTAAAGATGATTTACATAACAAGTAACGCTCATCTTTGGATTCAGGTGTGGGTATGCGTGCTGTGAGGATGGAAATCTCACACCGAGGTCTGTCCAGCGAGATAGTATGACAACAGAACGGAGCAAAAGAAATGACCAGACGAGGAATCGAACCTCGGACCTACCGCGTACCGGGCGGATGCTCTACCAACTGAGCTATCCAGCCATATCTCTTCTCCGTCATATGATCCACATACTGCTGGATCATAACACGTGCTCGTGCTTATCATTGCTCAACTCCGTATCTACATTTTCATCCATACCTTGCAATGCATGGCAGCTGATAATATCAATCGAATACAAATGTTCGTTGTAATATTCGATTATAATCATATATTTAACTTCGGTATATTATACACCCAGCCATTATAATCTGTATAGTATCTCAACCGAGTTGTGTAGTGTAACCAATTACATTGGCTGAAGTCTTTCTTATAATTATCAAACGTATCATCATTTCCTTCAACGATCTCTAATTCTTAATATGTCAATTAAAGAAAAAAAATTTTTGGGTCTTTAAGAAATGCGATCGGTATTATTATATAGTTTTCAGTAAATCGTTCATTACATTGAAATTCGACTATCTTGAGGTTGGGTAAGATTTGTGATAATTCATAAAAAATGTTACATGATAGATACTTATATTGGGCGTATAAGGAGGTAAGGATTCCATCCTCAGGATTCTTCAATATAGCAGTAAATAGTTTTCTTTGAGATTTATTTTCTATTTGTTTAATTATTGTTTCTGAATTGCTATTATATATATGAATAAAGTATTTAAATTTGGTCATGGATAAATGAGTTTTGATAAAAATTTATACTTGTCGGCATGTGAAGACTTCTTCGATAAATTAAGTTCTAATGGTTTTAGGTACGAAAATGTTTCGAAGTCGTATGGTTTAAGCATAGTTTTAGGAAGATTTCCAGTATCGATGAAAAGTGAGTTGCACTTAAGGGTGTAGGTTTGACTCTGGGTGTATCGTTTTTATCCTACTCACACTCACCCGCACCCACACCCTATCCTATATAAATAGAAAATAATTATTTACAAACACAATCACCGACCCTCTCACCATCTAAACATACGCGCATTTTTTTCGCGAATAAGAAAAAACACCTTAAGAACGGAGAGAGATGGTATTTTTCTTTGAATGAGTTTTACCAGTTTTTTTTTATTCTTACATTTGCGTTTCGTGGACAGAGTTTGTTTGATTTAGCGAGATTGAATGTCAGTAACTGTTAGAAAGAGAAAGGAAGAGAAAGAATAGAAAAAAACGACAACACAATTTTTTCATGTCGATATATTGAAAGAAAAATAAATAGTAGCAAAAGAAGCAGTTGAGTTTCGTTTCTATTCATTTTTTTTCTACAAGTAAGTGTTAATACCATAACAGCTACTGTAATGATGAGAGTACAAAGAATATTGACACATCCAGTGAAAGTTAGCGAAATACTTGAACAGTCCGATATCTAATTGATGGTAGGTTTATTAGAATAGCAGATTGAAGCTATACTATTAGATAAAACTTAGGATCCTCGAGGGTGTGGGTGTCTTCTGTGTATACACCCACACTCACACTATCAGCTACAACCTCACACACATCCACATCCACATCCTCAAGATGCGTAATTACTTTAAGGTATACAACACTCTAAACCTCTCGTTCTCTTGTTAATGTATCCTTGCGCCGATGTAAAAATATAGTCTTGTTATCGAAAAAGATTGTAAATAGAAGCAAAATGTATATCTGAAACAAAAAAAAAACAATCTATGCTTATCTCTTTTAGAAGTAAATCGCGTCAGTTGACTAAGAAATCAAAGAATGGCAGCAAAAGACGTTTATTCTGATGGAACAGAAAACAAGCACGATCGTTTTTTAGATGTTGGGCAAGAGCCTCGTCGAATGTTACAACCTATCGAAGGGTATCAGAAAATGCCACTTATTTCTTTGGAGAAAGCTGTAGAACCTATTCTTTTCTGTTGTCCTGATATTTACCGGCGTGTCTTTGTTGCCATGTCTAACTGTGAAAATCCAATCGATGGATTAGATCAAAATGAATCAGCTTCGATCTTTCTATATACCATGGAATGGGAACCGCAGGAGGAATGCCTTTATTATGTTCTGAACAAAACATTACGAACGGAAAATCGACAAAAACTTCGACCTTGGTTTTCTTATTTGAAATTGGTTCTTACTGCTCTGCAAAAACTCCCAGCAGAAAAACAAACCATATGGCGGGGTGTTACTCTTGATCTCAGCCAACAATACGAAGTTGGAAAACGTTATGTATGGTGGGCATTTTCCTCATGCACTCGATCGCTCGCTATTCTTGAATCTGAGCAATTTCTTGGCAAACATGGATCAAGAACCTTATTCAGCATCGAATGTCAAAATGGGAAAAAGATTCGATCGCATTCGTATATCAACGTCGAAGACGAAATTCTTCTTTTACCTGCAACGCAATTTGAAGTTATTAGCAAACTGAATCCTTCATCTGATCTGCATATTATTCATTTGAAACAAGTTGACCCACCATTTTCTCTTATTGAATTACCTCCGACAGGAATAACTTTACAGATAACATCTCAAATCAAGAAGAATGTAATACAACTATCTAACAATTACAGAAATGAAAAGCTCGAAGAATTAATCGCTCAATGTCCGTTTAATAAAACAGTGGATTTAGAGAGTCAAGAATTGACTGACAATGACATTCCAATTATCATACAACAAGCTATTATCGATAAAGAATGTTGGTATCTCACTATCAATAAAAATATGATTACCGACAATGGAATTAACCATCTGGCAAAAGCAATTGAGTCGAATACGTCGTTAGGTGTGTTAACCTTGAGATACAACAAAATTACAGATGTTGGTGTTCATTATATTGCACAAGCACTGCACACTAACGCATGGCTCGTTTTTCTGGATCTTAGCGGTAACCAAATCACTGAGAACGGGGCTCGATTTCTCTCTGAATCGTTACAAGCTAACACAACATTAAAGCAACTCTTGATCAATTTCACTTCGATCGGTGATAGAGGTATTCAATATCTCGCTAATACTCAGGCTCAAAATTCAACTCTAAAAACTCTGTCACTTGCCGCCACAGGACTAACTGATAATGGAGTTACGAATCTGGCTAAGATGCTTAAACATAATACAACTCTTATTGAACTCGACGTTGATTACAATCCTGTAACAGATAGTGGAATTAAGCTCATATTAGAAGCTTTGTGTAATAATAATGTTCTTCAAAAGCTGCATATTCAGTGCAAGCAAATGACGAATAAATCCATCAAAGATATTGAGAACACGCTAAAGCTAAATGATACATTAACTGATTTGTATGTATTGCAAAAGACGTTCACAATTGAAGAACAACAAAGAATTCAAAAGATGCTATCAACAAAGCAAAATCGACAAATTCACTTCGACGAAGCATAACAACTAAACTGAGTTATAAAACGTTTCCCCGCTGAATCGATGAGAATTGTCATATTTTAATTAAAAAAAAGAGATTAACTAAGCTCCATCTATGAAACACAGTTAGAGACGTACACAAGAATAGAATGTGTCATTTATTCATATTAAAAGTCTGAATGTAGCCTGAAGAAGTTTAAAGCAGCAAAAATGAAGTGAAAGGCACTAGCTGAGGATATAAGTATGAAGATCAGCAATTGTCATTTATATAGAGTGTAGGGGTGCGTATGCGTGCCTATTATGCCTCCACTCACACCTAACTCTGTGTATACATCCTAACCCATACCTTACAATGCATGGTAGCTGATAATATCAATCGAATACAAATGTTCGTTGTAATGTTCGACTATAATCATATATTAAACTTCGGTATACTAAACACCCAGCCATTATAATCTGTATAGTATCTCAACCGAGTTGTGTAGTGTAACGAATTATAGGTCATGAGAAGCGAGCCAAACATGCCAGCCAAAGTAATGTGCCTCACATCATATAGAAAAAACTAGCTGATCATACTACAGTTCTTATTTGTCATGATTTAACCTACTCTCTGCTCTCCTTCCATCAACACGATAATCTTTCAAGGTATACATGGGCACACTACTTGTAGTTCTTTAAAGACCAGTCTGGAGATAATACCTATAGTTTGCCAAGATACACCTGAATATGGTAAGATCATAAGAAGGAGCGAACATTCGTGTGAAAAATGTGGCGCACCTGACATAGAAAAATGGCCCAACCACTTTCGTCTCTAATTTTTCATAAGTTGAAATAACCTGCATAAGCATCCTAACTCTCATAATACAATGAATCAAACGAAGTGTGCTTCAAATTAAACTCTTTTCTATCCAGCTTTTAATGACAATGTGAAAATGTGTATGACGCGAAGAGTCTAAACAATTTAAAAAATGAGTCGTATTTCCTATGACGACTCTTTAATATCTCTGCTCTATATCCTTGATAATTTGACAAAGATTCTGCAAGGATTTCATGTTTTTTTAGTTGCAGGAAGTGAGCACAACTTATTCTCATGCCTACATCCAACCTTCTGAAAAAACTGTTTTTTGTTTGTGTTGTTACACTTTTTTCCCGGAAAAAACCTGCCCATCATCATAATTACATTTTCCTTCCAGAAAAAAATTTATTTATTCTCATCAGCATACTCTTTCTCGGAAAAGAAACTTGTTTATCATCAGTTCTGCATTGTCATTGGCAGAAGTATTTTTCTTGTTCTAATTCTTACATTATCCTTCTTAAACAAAATCATTCACATTCCCATATGAAGAGAAGCAAACCGTTTCACTGATCGGTGGCACACTAGAGTGAAAATTGGTTCCTAGTCAATCGTATCGGTGTGGATATAGGTATAGTGAGGGAGTGATGAAGCTACCCACATTGACACTCACTTATATCCGTCTTTTCATTGATTTGAAAATTGATGATAAAAGTCGAATTTTATTTGTTCCATTACAATTCTCGTCTTCTATAATGAGTATTTGTTTAGTTTGATCAATTTACAATAAATCATCTTTAAATAATTGAATAAGTTCTAAATTATCAGTCACAAATACCTCTATTTATGTTCTTCTGAAAAGAGTTAAAAATCTGTCATCATTAAAAGTTGCTTATAACTTTTTTTCTTTTCCATAAATATGAACTAATATATTGACTTTTTTCAATTAGTTGCGAATAAGATGATCATTCTAGTGACTTATTCTTATTTGATGACCAGAAATAATCAAAATGCAGATCATCAATTGATACAAAATAATCGTCGCATAGGGCATCATCAAGTATTCGTACATTATGAGACATTTTTTATAATATGAATAAAGATCAATATTTTTATGGAGTGTAAATCGGCGTATTGCATCATTATACATTCTTTGAAAACATTCTTTATAAATAAATAGTCTTATATGAGGGTGTGACTGACAATACACGATCCATCTACACGCCCACACGGTGTAGCAGTCTGAAGGGTACTATATTTAGAATTTGTGATTTGATATATCATCATAGTGGCTACAAACTTTTAGTTCTGATGGAAATATATTATATCAATCAGGATACACTCATTTTGCGATGAAACACATTTGAAATGACTCCCTGAACGATGCATTGAGTAGAATACAATAAAAAATCAGATGTCTTCTACTAAAAGAAGATCATCACATCAATAAATATTTCAGTGAAAATGATTCAGTACATTTATAGAACTATATAATTGGATTATCTTGATTCATATGTTCCGAAGGATAAACGATCAGATATATTATCGCCATCAAATATAATGTTTTACTACTTCCAATCAAAATTTAGAGATAAGTTTTGGTTTACTCTACTATTACTAGTGGCTCTATTCTTAAATAGTAATACACGATTAAAGAATCTTTTGATTGCCTAACATGCTGTCCTACACATTATAATTGTTAGTATTCAATTATTTATCGTTAATGATCACTTTAAATGTTTTTATATACCAAGTACAATATATGATCAACACTCTCAAGGTGACATTTGTTCGAGATAAGATGGTAAATAAATATTTGAAAAAGTCACTAGAAATCTGTCATTAAAATCTAAAAGAAGCTACATAAATCTTTTTACTCGTTAGAAAACAAACCATTTATTTTGGAGTTATGTATAATACATTCAAATATTGAAAGAAAGGAAAGACGTCATCAACTTTGTTTAGTAATTTTTGTAATGTAATTATGGAGATGCCATTTTCAACCTACAGAAAACTTGTATATGTTATTATCATATTGTTTTTCTCAACACCTACGTTTCTTTTTGTAAAGTAATGCACTTTTTCTTATTGTAATTATATTAAACCTAATAATCAAATAGATTGCACAACTAACTTCGTCTTCTGCTACATACATTATATATCACAGCATCATATAAACAAGAGAAAAGAAAAGAAAAGAAAAGAAAAAGTAAGTTATTAGTGGATGAATGTTTTTTTTGGAGAAAAAACGGTTTAGAATCTGTTGTTATAATAAACAATTATGAAACTCAATAGAGAATAGTGAAAACGCTGTTCGTTTTTATATATCTAATAAACAAAATGTTTTGTCTTTCATTAATACTATCATATATAGACATCGATCCTAACTGTTTGAATCACATATCATAATATTCTTTTTTTTAATCAAAAATTAAAGAATAAAAGTGATACTACAGAATAACAAAAGAGAAATTGTGGAAATATTGTCATACTCTGTGCGAAAATCAATCGAAAAATTCAAATTCAAATTCATTGAGTTTGGTTTTAAAAGAGTATTCAATTTTTTTGTTTTTTTTATAAATTGCGTGAGAATTGATTGATATATTGTATAATCTGTGAGATACGTTTGAATCAATATCTAGTTTATATATGAACACAATGAATTAAATATTTTTATTTTTATAAGACAAAATTTCATTTCCGATTTAATATTGATTATTTTCTTTTCATCTCCAATTTTATTGAGTAGATTGTTTTAGATGTTTCTTTTATATCTTTCTTCATTTTCTATATAACAAAAAATACTCTACTTCTGAATATATTTGTCTCTAAGAAACATGTCAACAAAAGAACAATCATCTTTCAAATTAGATATGTTTTTACAAAATTAAATAAAAGTCATGACTATTTTTTTTCATTAGGTTGATGAAATGAAATGAGAAAAAGAAGGAAAAAAAATAGTATTTATCGCTCAACAGATTCTTTTTCTTTTATTCTCAGTTAGTTTCATTTCATCAACTTGCAATACAGTCGATAATGGCTTCAAAAAGAATTTCTTTATGGTTTATATTTATGATTATTACACAATCGGTTGGAGACGATATGCGATCAGTTCGAATGTCTTTAATGCGTGGTTTGAAATTTAATTGTACTAGTACACCTTGTTTACCATTCGCTAATATCATTACGTCGACTAGTATCAAGTGTCAAGCTGCCTGTTTAGCTCAAATTTATTGCAGAGCAGCTAGTTTTCAACAATCAACTTCTAATTGTGAATTGTTTACTGATATGTCAAATGAAATTACAAATATGGCGACTGATACCGACTTTACAACTATGATTGTTATTGCTGGAACACGATCACCACCTGGTTAGTATGAATATCGTAGATTTACAAAGAGATCATTCTAAAAGTATCCATGAAAGCATATCTGACAAAGGAGGATCTCCATGGATATCGATGAAATTATGTAGGCTTGTTCAGTGCAGTATACCTATCTTAAGTATGAAACAATTAAATACGCCAGCTGTCACAGTAAAAAACAGTAATCAGAACATTTTCTAAGAAATCTAAACATATGTTTTGCTGTATAGCTTTTGAGAATTTTTTAGAGTCGTAGACTATTTTCATTCTGAATATTGTACCTCTCATTTGAGTTGTGTATTTTCTCTATTTCCATTGAGTTTTTCTACATCTCATGCATGATTTGTATGTATTCTCTATTGACAGGTGTACGGGCGTAGATTTCAGTCAATGGTCTTTTATATTTTAAACTAACTTCTGGGCAAAAAGCACCCTTCGCAATATATCGTAATAATCGTATTATCGTGTATTCATATTTCGACACCATCTATGGTGTGGGTAGAGGTATCATATTTATATCACATTCACAGCAATACGCACACCAACACCTACATCCACATCCACACCCAGATGTCCGCCCATACTCACATCCCACCCACACCGCTGCTGATATTCCGCCTCACCAACACCCACACCCTCATTATCCTCCCAGTGCTATGGTGGACTCAGAAAACTAAGGGCACTAGCAGGACTAAGAAGACTCGGAGGACAACGAAGACTCATACGACAAACAAAACTGTTGGGAGTAAGCAGACTCTGGGGAGTAAGAGGACTTGAAAGATACAAGTGACTCGGGGACTAAGAGGACTCGGAGGACAAAGAGGACCTCGAGAGTAAGCAGACTCGAGGGGCAAAGAGAGTTTTGAGTACTAAGGAGCCTACCAAGATAAAGTAGGCTCCGGGGTTTAAAGGGACTCGGGAGACAAGGGTAGTTCAGGAGAATAAGGGAACTAGGGAGACTAAGAGGGCTTGGGAGACAAAAGGGCTCCGGGAACAAAGGGGCTCCGAGAACAAAGGAGACTCAGAAGACATAGGTGACTCGAGGACTAAGTGGACTCGGAGGTTCGGACGATCAAGAGGACCCTTGGGAGTAAGCAAACTCCGAGGACTAAGAGGACTAGGGGGGGAAAGAAGACTCAGATTAGTAAGGAGAGGCGGAGGACAAAAAGAATTCGGGATAGTAAGGAGACTCCGAAGACAAAGGAGCCTCGGGGGACAAAGTAGGCTCGAAAGACTAAGGAAACTCAGAGGACCAAGAGGACTCTGTGAAGTAAGAAGGCTTGGAAGACTAGCGGGAAACAGCCGAACTCCGGAGGCTAAGAAGAATAAACAGCTTTCAAAATTACTTCGGTGCTTTATTATGGTAATCAACAGTGTATATAAGTCTACTCTGCATAATCAGAGTCAAAACAGTTATTTTTACCAAAAACAAAATGATTCAGTGCCGGAGATAATCAATTTTCTTCCGTGAAGAAATTGGAAAGTATATAAGCTTTTGACAGATTTGATTTACTCGTAAAGTCTTCATATTTATCAAGGGTGTCATTTGATTCCTTTGAATGTTATGAGTCTCCGTTGTTTATCATAGCTCGTGTAGTCTTGCAGTCCTTTCAGTCTTCTTAGTTTCCTGAGTCTCTCGGGGTACTGCTTTCAATTCAAAATAGTCTTTTTTTCTCTAAATCAGATTGAAATATAATACATCAATGTATGGGATCCTTATACCAGAAATCTAATTAAAGTAAAGATCGTGAAAGTACAGTTATAATGTAAACTGTCTAAAGATTCACTCTTTTATCATAGTGCACTCACATTTATAGTGGATATAACAGTTACAGAAGAAGAAGCCAGCAGTAAATCGATATCCAGTTGTTCAGTCTCATTCTAAACTCTCTTCTGTAAAATAGAACCGACTACAACATCAACGTCAACAACAACATCATCAACAACATCATCAACAACATCAACAACAACATCAACAACAACGTCAACAACAACATCAACTACAACATCAACAACAACGTCATCCACAACGTCAACAACAACAACAACGTCATCCACAACGTCAACAACAACAACAACGTCATCCACAACGTCAACAACAACAACAACAACATCAACTACAACATCAGCCACAACAGTAACAACAACAACAGCAGCAATACTGAGTCAGTACTATGTTAAATCATTTGTAGTGACTTAAGGAGTGATTAATCGCAATGACAATATATAAAAGTTTTAATTTAAATATTGAGTGATCACTATCTAAATAGACAATATTAGGAAACATATTCTATTAGAAGTTGAAATAGAACTATTTTTTAATGATTTGATTTGATCTACATTCATATAAGTATTGGATATTCTTGTATTCTCCAACAGTATCAGACGAAAATATTGTTGATAAAATGATTTTCATGCGACAGAATTCATTGATCATTTCAGTAATCACTCACATCCCCACTCACACCCTCAATTTAATTTAACATTTCATAGTGAATCTTATGTTAATCATGAAAGCAAAGAGAAGTTTATTGAAAGTTTGAAATCATTCAATCTGTGATCAATAGATAGATAACTTATGCACCTGAGAGATTGGAAGTCATTTTCAAAATAGCATTTTTTACTTACTTTTCCGCTTTATCTAGACTGGACAATGGTAGGAAACATGAATGTCGCACGACAATATCACACAGCATCCACATTAGCAAATGGATCAGTATTAGTTGCTGGTGGATCTAACGGTACTAATCTCAATAGTGCTGAACTGTACAATCCATTAACAGGCACTTGGACAATGGTAGGAAGCATGAATGTTGCACGATATCAACACACAGCAACCACATTAGTAAATGGATCAGTATTAGTTGCTGGTGGAGCTAACAAAAATGGTTATCTGAATAGTGCTGAATTGTACAATCCATCAACAAACACTTGGATAATAACAGTCAACATGAATGTCGCACGAGCATATCCCACAGCATCCATATTAGCAAATGGATCAGTATTAGTTGCTGGTGGAATGAACAGCGGTAGTAGTTTTCTTAATAATGCTGAATTGTACAATCCATCAACAGGCACTTGGACAACTACAGGAAGTATGAATGACGGACGCACTTATCACGCAGCAACCACATTAGCAAATGGGTCAGTATTAGTTACTGGTGGACAGGGCAGCGGTTATACTTTTCTTAATAGTGCTGAATTGTACAATCCAGCAACAGGAATTTGGACAACTACAGCAAGCATGTACGTCACACGAGAATGTCACACCGCATCGACTTTAGCAAATGGATTAGTATTAGTTTCTGGTGGATACAACAGTAATTATCTCAATAATGCTGAATTCTACAATCCATCAACAAACACTTGGACAATAACAGTCAACATGAATGACCCACGAGCATATCACACAGCATCCACATTAGCAAATGGATATGTATTAGTTGCTGGTGGATCCTACGGTTATGGTTTTCTCACTAGTGCTGAATTGTACAATCCATCAACAGGCACTTGGACAATGGTAGGAAACATGAATGCCTCACGAATGTATCATACAGCATCCACATTAGCAAATGGAAATGTATTAGTTGCTGGTGGACAGGGCAATGGTATTCTCAATAGTGCTGAGCTTTATTGATCGATATAGACAGAATGACATTTTCTTGTTCGAACTGAATCATAAACTTTTTTAATATGTAGTCAAACTATTTAATCATTCACATTTTTTTCATATGTAATCAAGCTATTTAATCATTCACATTGCTTAATACATTATCATTCACCAAATAATATATGAGTTACAGTAATAATGGTAGTGGTTGAGAAAGAGCCATGATTGATATAAGACAGATCATTATTTGTAAAACTGAGTGAATTTAAATACAGATGTGAAGAATATTGATCATTCTTTGTTACCAACTACATGTATTCTGGTCAGAGTGAGTTCACATGTGATGATAATATATGAATAATCGTTCTCAAATGAATATCAAAGATGAATAATATGTTGAAACAAATCTATTTTTTCCAACGAAACTCTTTTTTGTCAAATAGTTTGATCAGTTTAATTGTTGTATTTTAGAAAGTGGATATATTTTCAGGTTTTTGCTATGTGCATAATTTTATAAACAGATGATAGTTTCAACAAAGAAACAAGGCATACTGTGGAAAAATTACTACTATGTATTTGTTAATAAATAAATGAAAACGAAAACTATAGTTACGCCTACGAACGAAATTTATTTCAATCAATAATATATATCTCTCAAACAAATTGATATCATAGGTGACAAAAATAACCGACACGAAGATGAATGAAAAAAAGTGTTTGGTTAATTGATAGTTTTTGTAGGATAATATACCACTTTATTCCCGATGTTCATTGTTAAAAAATCTCTGTTATTCAATGCTTCATTTGCAGTGATATTTTCTTAAACACTGGAAAATAAAAAAACGTTTTGATGTTTATTCTAAAGAAGTTGAATAATTCTATCGTTGATCTTTGGTAAGAATATTCTCTTGAAAGAATATGTTAAAAACATGACTAAGATGAATAAGATTTATCGGTTTTTTCGTTGATATTCTCTAATTCATTTTCTCTGAAAGAATTATTTCATAATAAATATTAAAAAATCTTGAGGGAACGAATATGACTTTGTTATTCATCACCACACCTACACCCGCACCCTAATAGATCGAATTGTTCTACTAAAAACTCATTTATCTGAAAGTTTTCTAGAATCTCTTTGGATTCTGTATTTCAGACACTTTATATTTTCACTTGTCCATTAATACTTATATAAACCTATCAGTGATTTAAAGGAAGACTATAGTCGTCTTATAAACTATCAAATGACTGATGCAGTGTCGCTACTCTTCAGTCAATAAAATATAAAAGGTGGAGAATATTATCGAATCACTTTCATATTTAAAAAGACAACAAATGATTTCTACCATTTTTTAGTATTGCATTAGATTTTTTTCAGAATATTTAAATTGTTTAATTTAAAATTATAGATTATTTTCATATATATATTTTAATCATCCCTATTAAATTTATACATGGCAAATCAGGTTAGAATTGAATTATTATAAACAAAAAAATTTCATTAATATATTTGTAGGCTGAAGAACTCAAACTTAAAGCAAATGAAGCTTTTCAAGCTAATAAAAATGATGAAGCAATTGATTTATATAGTCAAGCAATAGCACTTGATGAAAAAAATCATGTTCTCTTTAGTAATCGATCAGCTGCTTATACTAAATTAGGAAAATATGAAGATGCATTAAAAGATGCTGAAGAATGCATAACATTAAAACCTGATTTTACTAAAGTAAAAATAAGAAATAAATATTCATTAAATTAAATGAATATGTTCATATTTTAAGGGATATTCTCGAAAAGGTGCTGCACTTTCATTTTTAAAACGTTACGATGAAGCAATCAATGTTTATGAAGAAGGCCTTAAAATCGATCCATCTAATCAACAATTAAAGACGGATCTGAAAACAGCACAAAATGATTCGAAAAAATCCTCATCTAGTCCATTTGATTTCTTTTCTGATCCAAAATTTCAAAGTGAACTTATGACAAATCCAAAAGCTCGAGAACTATTAAAAGATCCTGAAACAGCCATGCTTATGAAAATGATGCAAGAACAACCAAATAATACAGCACTTTTGCAAAATCCAAAATTAATGCAACTCATTGGTATTGGACTTGGTTTTGATATCGGTATGTCAGATGGTGCTGATGTTAAACCTGAAAGAAATACAAATTCAACACCAAATAAAGTAAATGAACAAAATTCCGCTGAAGCTGAAAAAGAGAAGGGCAATGAAGCATACAAGAAAAAAGATTTTGAAGCAGCATTACAACATTATGATAAAGCCAGTGAATTAGATCCAAAGAATATGACTTATTATACTAATAAAGCTGGTTAGTTAAATTTCTTATATTATATATATTTAATTTATTTTTATCTTTTTTTCTAGCTGTTCATTTCGAACAAAAACGATGGGATGATTGTATAAAACAATGTGAACAAGCTATAGAAGTTGGCCGGGAAAATAAAGCAGATTATAAATTGATTGCCAAGTAGGAATACAAAAAGAACCTTGAACAAAAAATATTTTTGTTTGTTTTTTTAGAGCCTATGCCCGTATGGGAAATGTTAAAGCACAAGAAAAAGATTATGAAGCTGCTATAAAATTTTATAATACTTCGCTAGCTGAACATCGAAATCCTGATATTTTAAAGAAAAAACAAGAAGTTGAAAAACTACTTAAAGAAAAAGAGAAAACAGCTTATAATAATCCTGAATTAGCTGAAGAAGAAAAAAAGAAAGGAAATGAATATTTTCAAAAAGCTGATTATCCAAATGCACTTAAACATTATACGTAAGTTATCTTATTAATAATCAAAAAACAAAGTATTTCAAATAATCGAATATTTATCTAGTGAAGCTATTAAACGAAATTCATCCGATGCAAAACTTTATTCCAATCGAGCTGCTTGTTATGCAAAACTAATGGAATTTCCATTGGCAGTCAAAGATTGTGAAGAAGGAATTAAACTCGATCCAAAATTTCGTAAATTTAAAAAAATGAAGAAATTAGTTTTTATATAAATTATTTTATATTTCTAGTTAAATGTTATCTTCGTAAAGGTCATGCTTTAGTAGCAATGCAAGATTTAGGTCAAGCTATGTCTACATATGGTAAAGCTCTTGAAATCGATCCATATTGTCAAGTAAAACAAAAATCTATGAATATTCATTTTTTATCATCTATATATATTTTAGGAAGCTATTGATGGTCAACGACAATGTTCAATAAAATCAAATACTGATCCAGATGAAATTCGTAAACGTGCAGCTGCTGATCCTGAAATTCAACAAATTCTTGGTGATCCAAGTATGCGTATGATTCTCGAACAAATGCAAAATGATCCACAAGCATTACGTGATCATTTACAAAATCCAGCGATTGCACAAAAAATTCAAAAATTAATTCAATCCGGTATCATCAGTACGCGTTAAGATTAATTTAATGACATTTAATCTTGAACATATCTAAGTCTATATATAGTCAAGATATATAATAATACACTTTAATTACGTTTCTTTTTTTTATATTTTATATATATTTTCTTTTCTTTCGATGTTCCTGTTACACCAGTGATGACTTTGTTTTAGGAAAATTTAAAGTAAAAGTGATAATTATAATTATATCGAATCGAACAAAATAGACAAAATTCTTTCATTGCGCTTGTATACTCTGATATTTTATTTTATTTCGAAAGAAATAATAAACTAAAAGATGATTACTGACATAAACATATTAAAATACAATAATGAAAACGAAACAAATCAACGTGTATATATATATTCAATTTAAAATTAAAAAATAAGAATGTAGTTAAATGAAGCAAAAACACCAAATTTCTATTAATGGAAAATCTCGTTTTTTTTCACATGAATAAGCAAACTAAAATCTACTGACAAAGAAAATACACACAAGAACTGTGTTTTTGATTTAAAATTTCAAGCTGAACTGCTTGCATTTTTACCAGCAACTGATGTTTGTTTCTTTAAGCTTGCTGAGGATAATAAACTTGGTTTGTTGGTACCGGCAGTAGCTGATGATGTTCGAGCTGTTGAAGTAGTATGGGTACTATCATCATTGCCTAATTTATTCTTAAACAAGAATGCATTGACATGAGGTAAGACACCACCTAAATATTAAAAAGGTTTTTTTCGTATATTAAATAATTTAACTTTATTTTTACCTTGAGGAATTGTGACTCCATGAAGAAGCTAATAGAAATTAATTAAATAATGTTTTTTTTATTATTATTGATAATCTATTTATAAAAATATACTCATACTTTCTTAAGTTCTTCATCGATACTAACAGCCAAGAATAAATGTCGTGCATTGATACGTTGTTTTTTATGATCTTTAGCTGCATTACCAGATAATTCAAGTACTTCAGCTGTTAAATATTCAATCTGATATAAAGGAAAATTATTACATTCAATAATAAATATGTACATTACAAACCACAGCAGCTGTATAAACGGCAGCAGCCATTGTTACACGACTTTTTGGTACTGATTTTTTAATATAACGATGAAAACGTGGTACCGAAAAGAGTACACCTTTAAATATATTATCAATAGAATCATGAAAGAACTATTTCTATTTCATTCTACCTGCGCGAACGGATTTTGATTTTCTTTCACCACCTTTACGACCAACTCGTCCTGATGTTGTTGCTGGAGGAACCATTTTTCTTCTACTTTATAAATCTTATATTTAATAGAATCAAATATCTAGTAAAAATTAATATTGTTTATTTAATGTCTACTATCGCTGTAAACATCAAGGAGACATAATTATTATTGGTATATGTAACAAGTAGGACGCAAAAGTTTTAGTAAACGAAAAAGAGGCAAAACGTATTTGCAAAGGAAAAAAAACAAGTCATATTGATTATCAACATACTCTACCTGTTACATATTAAACTCAGTTAATGCCTCCGTTAAAATGTCAAAATATACGTTTCCTACGAACCATATTGGTTTCGGCGCCACTAGCGCCGTTATTTTACCTTACTAAAATTCTTATGTTATATAATGAATAAATCTCATGATACTGCTTATGACATTTTAATTAAATTTTGTTATTTGAGAGTTTAGACGAAAATAACAACGAGCTTTGCACTATTATCCTAAAGATCTCAAATATATCAAATATTTGATACCCCCCAAGCTATTAAATATCATTATGATTAACAAAAAAAAGAACAGTAGTTAGTTGTCTGATTTCTTTGTGAAAATGTCTTCTATCAATGTTGATTCATACAAAAATGCCACTAATCAAAGTACTATCTATGGTGGGTTTATTGTATTCTGTATTGGTATGATCGGTAATATATTAAATATTAGTATCTTTACGTCATTAAAAATATTTCGTCAAACTTCAGCTGCTTTTTATATGACTGTAACATCTAGTGTTAATATTTTTCAACTTGTAGTTGGTTTATTATCTCGAATAATGATCACAGGTTATAATATTGATCCAACTAAGGCATCATCATTTATATGTAAAGCACGACAATTTACTTTAATTACTACTATGCTTATTGCTTTTACATGCATGTGTTTTGCAGTAATTGATCAATATCTATCATTAACAAATTCTTGGAGACATTTTTGTACTGTTAAAATAGCTAGTCGTCTAGTTATTATTGCTTTTATTGTATGGTTTTTACATGGTATTACTATTTTTCTATATGTTGATCTTGATTCATCGCTTGGTAGTAATCAAACAAGTTGTTCAGTTATCAATGCAGGTTATTCGATTTATTATTCTCGATTTCTATTTCCTATATTACTTGGTTTTCTACCATTAATTATTCGTATTATTTTTGGACTTCTTGCTTTTGTTAATGTTCGTCGTTTAAAGAAACATCAAACAACTATTGTTCGATTAGAACATGATAAACAATTGACAACTATGGTAAAATTACAAAAAAGTTTAGAAATTATTTTTTCTGAAATATATATATTCTTTGTAGGTATTAGTTGAAGTAACTGTTGATGTTCTAATTACATTACCTTATATTATTTACAATCATATATATTCAAATAGTGTAACATTTTATGATCCAATAAGTAATGCACAAGATCAATTGATTATTGCAGTAACACGTATTATATTTTATGGAAATTTTGCGGTGAGTTAGTTAAAAATGAATGAATACTTTTGAAATATAATTTTTTTATATATTTAGATAGCATTTTATATTTATTTTTGTGTATCATCACGTTTTCGCAAACAATTGGTATATGTATTTGTTGAGATTCATTTAAAACGTTGGCGAGAAAGAACACATCGAAATGGTATTAATCAAATAGTTCCACAAACACCAGATATTGTTCAAAAAACAAATGATGTGAACTAAAACAATCATTTTTTAATAAAATATATTTTGCCTTGAAAGAAAAGAATCATAAAAAAGTTGTAAAAAACAGATTTCTGGTTCCCAACAGTTTTGTTTTTGTATTGATGCTTTTAATAGAACCGGTAACACATTAGAAGACCCCCTCTAATGGTTGTTTTTTCAGTTTTCTCTTGTACTCTCTCTTGGTTTTTTCCATTTTGATTGTAATTAATCCTTTAAAAACAATATAAAAAACGTTACAAGACGATATTCTTTTTTTAATGAACGATAAGACAGATTAGACGACCTCGCAGGTCTTCTAATGCATCCTCGACTTTATCTAATTAAATATAAGGACAAACCATTTAATATGTAAAGAGATTTATCATAGGTTATTTGTTGTTCCGGGTGAAAAAGACATTATATCTTCATTGTTATTAAGTTTTCCAGTCATCATTATAAATATAAATGATATTTCTATACGCCTACTATGAATATTAACATGATTAATATGCACGGATAATCATAAAATATAGTCTTTGATATATAAGATAATAATTTTAATCTAGATAAAAATACATTTACAAAATTTTAAATTTTAATTATGTCATCGAACGTTACTGATTTAGCAAAACAAATTTCTGGAATAATTACTACCGATATTGGCTTATTTATATTAACAACTGGTTTACTGGGTAATATACTTAACATTATTGTTTTTTTATCTTTGAAAACATTTCGAGAAACTTCATGTGCATTTTATTTAACATCAGCTTCATTTGCAAATTTAATTCAATTAGTTGCTACTTTACTTTCACGTATTCTAATTACTGGTTATAATATTGATTTAACTCAAACATCTTTATTTCTATGCAAACTACGTCCATATGTAGCAACTATAGCTCCACTTATGTCTATATCTTCGATGTGTTTTGCAACAATTGATCAATTTACTTCATTGAGTGTTCGTTGGCGTCATTTTAATCAACGATATATAGCTGCATATTTAACAATAATTACTTTAATTTTTTGGTGTTTAGTCAATATTCCTGTGATTATTTATAATAATATAACTATGGCTTCTACTAATCCTGTAACATGGGCATGTTCAATTACAAATGCAAATTTTAGTCTTTATTACAATCGATTTTATATATCATTTCTACTTGGATTTCTTCAACTTATTATTCGAATTATTTTTGGTCTTATGGCTTTTATAAATGTGCGTAGTTTAAGAAATAATCAAGTGCCTATTATTCGTTTAGAACGAGATAAACAAATAACATCGATGGTTTGAAAATAAAATCTTTTTTTTTCTCGAAATTTTACAACAACTTTTTTTAATTTTAGGTTTTAATTCAGACACTTGTTGACGTTATCATATCTTTGCCATTTTTTATCTATATTACGTATAGATCTTATACAACAATTAAAGATGCAAATGATTATTTTGTTTTTTTAGTTGTTCTATCAACAACAAATATATTATATTATGCTACATTTTCAGTAAGTAGAAAATAATAAATGAACTTATTAGATCAAAATTATATATATGTATTTTTTGTTTAGCTTGGATTCTATATTTATTTTTGTTCATCATCTCGCTTTCGAAAACAAATCATATATGTTCTTGTTGGTATTCATTTGAAATATTGCTGCAGAATTAATGTTCAAGAACGTAATAATAATCAAATTATTCCACAATTAACCACAAATAAACCAGCTCTATCGATGAATAATATTCATACAGCTCAATAAGTGTTATCAAATTCTTTCTATGTTTAAAAGGTTGTATCTAAATTATATAAAATATTGTTTGTATTGTCTATCATATGTTATAACCATTTTCTTTGTACTGTTTCATTATTATTCATCCAAAATAAATTTATCTATAGCGTATCTAAATTATATTTTTTACGAGTAGTCTAATATCGTGAACACCAATATATTCACTTAGCTGAAGCAATCTATACAGCGTGGCTGAGTTAACTATCTGTTCTTGTTCAGACACTCTTAACCATAAAAATAAGACTGAAAAAAAAATACTCATTCACATTATATATTATCTTCTCACCAAAATCCATCAAACATATACATTAACGCCATCTTTCTGAACGAAACTAACAATTCGTTATTGAAATTACCACTAGTCAATTCTTTTAAAGAGAAGATAATTGTACCATTCTCTCTCCAAATACTGTTATCAAAGCATACAAAATTACTTTCGGTAGCACCACATAACATAATATAAGAGTCTTGATAAAACCTTGACAAAAGCATGTGCACATTTCTTACATTACCAGTAGAGCTCGTTTATAGAATTCTGGACCATGAAACCAATTTTACTTTGTTGTGCTCAATGTAAAATGTCTGTCAACGATTCAATCAAATCCTTGACAGTTATCCGCGATATCAAGTAAGAGTCTACAATCATGCCTGCACCCATACCCCACTTAAACTATCTCATACGCACATGTACATTTTTACACACAGTCACTCACCACACTTATTCTCAGTAACAATCAAATCACAGAGAAGGGAGCACAACATCTTGCTGATGCATTAAAAAACAACACGGTAAATCACATCCACTCTTCAACTGTCTCATACAAATAGTTATGCTTTTTCACACAGACACTCACTACAGTTGATCTCACATTCAATCAAACGGAGACAAGGGAGCACAACATCTTGCTGATTCATTAAGAAACAACGCAGTAAATCTCATGCTCTCTTCAACTACCTCATACAAACACTTACACTTTTTCACACAGACGTTGACCAAACTTAACCTCGGTAGTAACCGAATTGGAGACAAAGGGGCAGAACATCTTGCTGATTCGTTAGAAAACAACACAGTAAATCTCTTTTTCTCTTCAACTGTCTCATACACACATTTACACTTTTTCATACAGACACTCGTCGAACTTGATCTCGATAACTATCTAATTGAAGAGAAAGTTCGAGATCGTTTGAAGGAACTTATTCAGAAGAATTGGCAAATTCGTAAATGTTAGTCATGAAGATACTATCATGTCGAACTAGAAGAATGTGTTTATCGTCTCATTAGGATTTTGTCACATCGTCGATTTAAAAATGACAATAAAGTTGTTGGATTGTTTTGAAATTATGTTTACTGAAGTGTGGATCTTCTTCTATATTTTTAACTCTAAAAAGATCATAATATATTGGTTCTTGTTTAAACTGTGCTCTGCACTGAGGGAGATGTGATAGTATAATTTCAAAGTGTTATTTGTGATTGTGCACTGTATTGTTTTTCATTAGCCGATCTCACATCGATCTCACATTGTTACCATTTATTGCATGTTAATGAAATGGAACGAACTAACTTAAAAGATGATTGTTAGTTTAATCAAGAGAATAGTGATTAGTAGATATCATGTAGAATAAGATGAAAAGAAAAAAGTTATTCAGTGTATGTTGTCATGTTAGTTGCTCAGCTGATGCTGGTTTTACCTAATTTTGAATGACATAGTATTTTTAAGAAAATCAAAGAACTGTTCGAGAACTAACTGATTTATTTAAAGTTTCTTTTGAAACCTGATCGAGAAAGCATCTGGTTCAGCTTTTGATTCATGACATATTTGATAGAAGATTAAGGAAAACTTCGAGTGTTGGTATTTTTGATGGTGAACTAACGATGTTCTGGATGAATATTATTTATGCATTTATTTATGAGTCGATGAAATCTATGACAATCTTTTGTTTTCTCTGCAAGTTTGTATGCAACGCTATTAATGACAGTTAATGTCAAAAACATATCATAAACACAGATTTTAAGTACAAGAATGATAATATAGCATTTAAAGTCTATTGAACAAGAAGAAATGTTTCAATGCTTACTAATATATATATACATATATATATCTGATGACTGGTTGATTGATGTCATCTTCAGTATATTAACTGACAAAAGAGAAAACTTCGAACGTATATTTTTATGAAAATCAACTCATCAAAGTATATATTTACTGTAAAAGTTATTTTTACCAGTGTCTCGAACAATATTCAGTATGATAGTTGACTGTATTTGTGTTTCAAGATAAATGTATCTACACTATGTACAAAATATCAGAACCATGCAAATGAAAATCTACTTCAATGCTTTTTTTGATTGATTTGAAACAGCAAGCATTTATTTATATTTATTCTTCTGACTGTTACATATGTTTTAAATAAATAATATCAACGATATTTACTCGATATGTCAGAAAAGAACCATAGAAGTCATATGCTTAAAGTATAATGACAACAAACAATAACAAAATATTAATATTCATTATACCATTCTCAGAAATTCCAATCGATTATTTGTGAATAATAATGACTAAATAAAGAATACTGAAGTCAAATGTACTTGACAGAAAATATTTCAACATACAATTTTAAATAGTTACTAATCCAATACTTTTTTGTGGGAATCATATGCCTCACAATTATTCATCACCAAATGATTACAAATTGTATGAAGAAGCATTGCTACAAGTTCTCTTATTAGACAAAAGCATCTAACATTCATGGACAGCAATGTAAAACAGTATTTCCAGCCAGCGGGCTGATACTAGTTGAATTTTATAGAGATTTAATCGATTTTTGATAATTGCAAGAACTCTATCAATGAACTATTTATATAAAGACTAGATTTACATTTCAAAATACAAGAATGAGCATATATCGCTATTGATTTCAAAAATATTTCTAAACTAACTGTCAATCTAAAATCATCCAATATTTCTGATGTTATAAAATGCAAAAAAAACATTTTCTTGAATAATATAAGTACAAATAAATTATGAAAAATACACATTGAAAAGAACAAACATTATTTTTATCATTAATTCATTCATTCATTCAGTTTATTAATTTTAAAATGTTAAAGTAAATCTTTTCCATGTTATTTTATCAACAACAAGTACATCGGAATTATTTCCTTGACAAAAGATTATAATACGTTCAGCCATAACATGTTTTCCTTGTTCAATCTAAAAATTAAAACATTTATATTCAACATTCTTACATCATTAAATATAATTTTATTTGAATTTAAAAATCGAATAATATTTAATGTTGGAAATAAAAACCGTATTTGTAATACTTTGATAAAATACATAAATGTATATGTAAAGTATTAGCCATCCTTTCGAAATGCCAATTACATGTATAAGGTGATTGTATAAGATCACTGAAATGATTTTGAATTTTGTCATTGAAAAAATATTGCCAACCAACAGGTAAACGAAGGTGTTTATTCTATTTAGCAAACATGAATAAAATACAAATTTTATCTTTTTTTCATTGATCTTTGTAAATGTATATGATTAGATATAAAAAATCAAGATTATTGAGAAGTTAAAAGAGACAATATCATTTTATCATTATTTCGCTGAAATATTTTACTCTGTTATAATATGATTACGGTCAAACAACAGTAAATAAAGTGAATCAAATACTAACTGAAGTAGTAGTTTTATAAGGAATATGCATCGGTAATTGGGTTCGAATATCAGCAATTAATTAATTTAAACCCGATCGAAATATGTTTTATTGTTATTAATGAAGATTCCATTGATTTTGACTGTACTATTATCAATTATACAACAAATAAGATTTAAATATAAATCAGTGAAATTTTTAAAAAATATATTTTACTCTTCATCATTTTGTATGTCATTGATTTCAAATATTGTTGATGCTAAATAATCAAGACAAAGTTCAATAGTTAAACACTAAATAGATATGTATATAAATAAAAGATTTTTTATGATATATTTTGATTCAATCTACTACATTATTTGTTCTTGATTGATTCTGTCACAAAAAACAACGATCATGAATTTCACTAAGATCTATCTTTAGTTTTATAGTTTTACCCATCAATATTGGTAAATCAAATTCTGTAATTTTAATACATTCTAAAAATAATTCAAATAAAGATTAATTGCTTAGTTTTATACAGATATAAACCTGTCATATTAAAACCATATGTAAAAACTTGAATTTCTAGATTATTGATATCACATTCTGATGATGAGTTGATTAAGCCAAGTGTTACGAACAACCTATAAACTAATAAATGCAATTAAATTCACTCAATATTTTTCATACGTACTCTTCTCCTCGATGAACTTGTGCATTGTGTGCTATTAATTTATGAGTAAAATCTACTTGAATATCATTAATCAAAACATATTCAACATTAAGGATAGAGGATGTGGGTGTTGATATCATGCTCTGTCCACACCCACACCCTTTCCGTAGTTGCCGACTTTTTTTTGAGTAATTTTTGGTGACACTACTTTTAATATTTTTGAATAGTTGGCAAATTCCTGTCGATAGCATTTAATGACTCAAAATAATGTAAAAGAAATTTTAGTAATATCGAAAATTTCCTTTTTTAGAAAATTTGAATACAGCTGTAAAACAAAGGAGTACTTTTCTTGAAAATGCGTACATATGGGTACAATATGGATTTTGGACTTCCGTTTAACTCAGAGTTTTGTGACTCAGTTCAGGTGACTGAAGATTGTATCTATAAAGGAAGAGACTACTAAAGCATATCCTTCACTTTAATTGCAAATGATTTATTCGTGACTTTTAGACCCTGTTTTTCAATGCACCCACGTAATTCGTTATGAGAACGTGATTTTTCCTCTTTTTATTTCATTACCACATTGAAAGTTACCTTGCTGAGTCATTTTTTCACTATATATTAAAGGTGCTTACTCTTCCTCTCCTTACATTCAATTAAGGTACGTAAATTTTTGATGCGTGACATAACTGTATAACATGATCCGACAAAATGATTTTTAGGTATTTAAATTGAGAGATTCGATGATACAGATTGGAAAGTGAAGGTAATACTACAATAAAAGCTATTGACGCAATCTCTGTGAGATTAAAATGCAAAACGCGATAGATCTGCTGTTATTGTAAAAGTGACAATGTAGACATCTCTTACGAGATGAAGTTTCTGGTGTTTGATCATTCGCATATTCACATTAACTCTTTTAATTCTTTGTGTAAGTCTCACTGTGCCTTGAGTGTGAATATTAGAACATTCCGATCAGAAGGTGCATGCGTTGAATCCAATAATACTTCACGAATCGAAACAAATCCTTTCTCACTAAAGGTTTTCTGAATGCTCGGAAAGGTCCATTTATCTACAGGAGCCTTAATAGTTCTAAAAAAATTCAACATATCAAGATGTTCTTTAACAATTCTACTTTCAGATAGTAATTATTCAAGCAAACGAATATGTTTCGTCTCGTACGTAATTGTATAGCCAAACATTTGATTATAACCAACAACAAATACCGATCACATTTAAGTAAGTCATAAAACACAGCTTAACTAGTTCGTTTGCATCTTTTTCACTATATCACTACAATCCAGGTTGACCTAGTAAGAAATGACATAATTTGAAGTGAATCGAGTAATTTTGTTAAAGCAAAAAGATACACAATAGTCTGTTTTTATATTGCTTATCCATGCAACATGTTATTCATCGTTGTTATTGTTCTCGTATTTTTCAGGAGGAACAGTTTCCAACATACTATCATCCACAGCGTTATCAACCATGTCTCTTAGTCATACACCAAAGATGAATTCTACAAGAGAACAATTTCTTCAGGATATGCAGAAATATTTTGAATCATCCACCACAGGCAAAGGTATCATAGATCTACTTGCATCAACACGGCCGAATTGCATTGATATCTACCTTGACAATAATGACTATTTACATTTGTCGTTTGATCCACGATTAATTGCTGATGATGTGTATCAATATAATATGAATAACGTGATTTCGAAGACTGAAAAAGTCTCGTGTCAAAGTCTATTGGATGAGAAACAGCAATTGTTAATCCCAAGACAAGGATCCGACAACATAATGTCAGGATTGTTTTTACAAGAAGCCTCTTGTCAATATCAAGTGTCTGACTTACTAGCTGAGCAAATACTTGGAAAAGAAAGTGTTTATTTAACTCAAAGTGGATATGTAGCTAATTATGGTCTACTTCAAGCATTGGTTATTCCTGCGAAGACCCACATCTATATTGATACTGCTGCTCATGAGTCACTTTGGCAAGGCGCTAGTCGTGGTATTATTCACAAAATTAAACATAATTCTTTAGATGATCTAGAAGAAAATCTTCGCAAATTTGGAAGTGGAATTATTGTCGTTGACTCTCTTTACTCAGGAAAAGGTTCTATTGCTGATCTGATTGAACTTTGTAATCTCAAGGAACAATATAATTGCATGTTGATAGTCGATGAATCTCATTCAATTGGATTGTATGGGCAGCACGGTTGCGGTCTTGCATCATTGGGAAATGTAACAGATCGTATTGACTTTATCACGGGTAGTCTAGCTAAAGCGTATTGTGTTCGTGCTGGATTCATTGCTGGTCGAACTCAGGAAATATTGTATGTGAGAGAAAAATCATCAGCTGCAATATTTAGCAGTGCACTTATGAATTGGGATATACAACGTCTTCAACGTGCTATCAATATAATTTACAATGCAGATGAAGAAAGACAAAGATTAATGCACATTGCAACAACCGTACGTCATGCTGCAGTGACATTAAAATTTGATGTCGAACAAACACCACTGCCAAGTCCCATTCTGTGTTTGAATGGTGGACCGAATTTGTTCTCAAAAAAACTTCAGAGTTATTTCGAAAATGCTGGAGTATCTGGTGCTATATTCATAGCACCTGCGACGCCCCTGAATGGATCTATGTTGAGATTAACATTCCATGCTGGCTTGTCTGATGAAGATGTCTCACGAATCATCAATACACTCGAATTCATTGCTCAACATCATCGCTCTGATCTTCCATATACATTTTTAAAGCGTTCAACTACACTTCTGAACTAAGAAATTAATCTCGAAATATTTCTTTTTTGTTTGAATTGTAAAGTGTAATCTTGAATAAATGCCATATTATATTATGATAAAAAGCCTACTTGCTTTCTTTCTCTCATCGTAACTATTAACTCTCATGTTCACTGTCATCGTTATCATATCATCCATTGAATCCTTAAGAGTTTTCCAAGGCACTATGAGTTCATTAATTTTAATGTGCTAAGGATGTGGGTGCAAGATAAAGACAACACATCCACATCCACACTCAAATATAGTTATCTAACGATAATTCTATACAAGCATTTAATGTAATGTCCTCATTAGCTTAATCAAAGTTATACTTACTAAGAATGATTGAGAAAATGATCTATACTAAATAATTGATAATAATATTACTAACTGATCGGAGCTTACTTAAATGATTGGTTTGAGAGATTTTTAGTTCAAGAGATAAAACTGCACATAATTATTTCAAACTCGGTATATTGGCAGGATGTGAGTGCGGTCGTCGATATTCGATGCATCTAACACTTACACCCACCCTCATTGACAACGTCATCATCTTTATTTGTGTACCATTCTCGTAGAATTCTTCCAGTCAAACTAGATATTGTGTCACTTATATAGAAACCAACTAGTATTACATATATTTTTGCTGTATCTCTGTCTTTATTAGATTTAGATTGGCTTTTTCCACCAAATTCTATGATTATTCATTATATGATATTTCATCAATGTGACTGTTTTTCGTTCTTTTGATTTCATTATCTTGTCCTACTATATAGATTTCTAATCAATATTTAACTTTAATCACAAAATACAAGAATGATTCAGATTAAGATAAATGTAGTGTATTTTTGTAATGATGAACAAGTAAATAATAAAAAGCAATTATATAAGATATTGAAAGCATTGAGCGAAAAATGAGAACATCAAGCGACAAAAAAAAATGCGAATTACGATCTCTCTCTCATGTACATGTACTGAGAAAAATGAGAACATCAAGCGACAAAAAAAAATGCGAATTACGATCTCTCTCTCATGTACATGTACTGAGAAAAATGTTCACACGGTTCTTTGTATTAGAATCGGGAACAGCAAGATCTAATCGACCATCGTTATTGAAATCAGCGACAGCGAATCCATACACGTAAGAATCATTTCCAGTTGCAATTGTAGTTTTTAATACAAAAGATCCGTTCCCGGTTCCAAGGAGCATACTAACGCTACGTATCACGGGGCGACTGACATAGTTGACGACGGCAACATCGGTTATACCGTCACCATTGAAATCATTGGTAGCGATCCACTGCAGCGTAGAACCAGGCCCAGCGTAAAACATAGTTTGTAATCCAAAAGATCCATCACCGTTCCCAAGAAGTACACCCACATTGGTCACTGACGATTTGTAGTTAGTGACAACAAGATCTACTCGACCATCGCCGTTAAAATCACCGGCAGCGGCGCTCTGCGGTAGAAAATTAATTGAAAACGTTGTTTGTAGCCGAAAAGTCCCACTACCGGTTCCAAGTAGCATACTTATGGTGGGCCAGTGCCAGGAGATAACGACTAGATCTAGATGAGCATCACCATTAAAATCATTGATAGTAATGGAGCTTGGATTAGCGATAGTAGGGTATGTTGTTTGTAATCCGAAATTTCCATTGTCGATCGCAATAAACACACCCACATTGCTCGAGTAGTAGTTGGCAACAACAAGATCTAATCGGCCATCACTATTCAAATCTCCGAGAACGATCCAGTACGGCTGAAAACCAGTTGAGTAGATTGTTTGTGATCCAAAACTTCCACTGCCGGTTCCAAGTAACACACTCATAGTGTCATCACCATAGTTGACAACGGCAAGATCTAATCGATCATCGCCATTTAAATCACCGACAGCAATTGAGTATGGGCTACTACCAGTTGGAAATGTTGTTTGTGATCCAAAACGCCCACTCCCGACTCCAAGGAGCACGCTCACGGTGTTTCCACCATTATTGAGAACGGCAAAATCTAGTATTCCATCGCCATTGAAATCACCAATGGCAACCATCCTAGGGCTGGCTCCCACTGCATATGGAACTGCTACTGCGAAATTCAAATTTGTACACGATACGACTAATAGAAGAAACCAATAAAATGAAGATTATACAAAAAAACATTTCCTTAAATTTCACAAGTCATCAACACGTACTGATGATATATACGAATTCTGAATCTATCGTGCATTAATGATTCAACTTTCACAAAAAAGATTAATGATTTCTTTTCAAATGACTCAAAATAACGTATGTTTTTAAATTAATCGCTACTATTCAAAAAATTCTAAGTTTATCTCTTGAAGGTATGGATATGATCTATAAGTGATAACCACATCCGCACTCTCAAGAGATAGTAAGTGAGACGTCTCATTTTAGAAGTCATGAACAAAACTCCATGAGCTCTGACTTTCAATGTATAAAACATCATGCAAAAAACAGTTAGATAATCTTGATATGATATACGAACCTGTTGGAGTAGAAACTGTTACTGGCGAAAAGATCGTGTTAATCGTCGTAGTGATTGTTGTATTTGCACTTGTACTTACTGTCGTGTTTCCGCTAGTAGTGATTATCTTGGTGGTAGTGATACTTGTAGTGGCACTAGTGGTTGTGGTTGTGCTTGTTGAAGGAACTAAGAGATAAGAGATGTTTGACAAAGATTCAATATGATATATACAAGATCATTTATGCGTTAAGAATATGATCAACAATATAAATGTTCAAGGGTTTCTCAAATTATATAGAATGATACCAAATTTTCGAGTGATTTACGATCTTTTATTATTTTTTCTTTATTATTGGACTTAAAAAAGCTGATCTAATCAACTTTGGCATCTAGAAGCTAATTCGGTTTTGACTTTTATTTCTAAACTCGTTGTTTTGAGAAGAAGCGTAAATGAACCTAGATATCAGAAAAGTAATAATAAAGAAGATCTCACCTGTTAGCACAGATTGATCCTCTTCCTGATTTGATCGAGTAAGATAAACAGATGGAATAATGATGGCGGCTACTACAATTGTAAATAAAATAAACCCAATGATAAGCTTGTGATAGCGTAGTATTGATGTGAGGAAACTTGTTCTAAGAAAAACAACTCTAAACTATGAATGAAGTAAAAAGGAAAGAGACATACAGAATAAATCGATCTGTGGGCACCGATCCTAAAGCAACAACATCTCCGGAAACATTTAGTGAATCTAGAGTGTTTGAACTGAGATCTGAATGTTGGTTGGATACGATGAAAAGACGTTCGGCATGATCGGTATTATCAACCGATATCGTGTTATTATCCAAAGAAGTTGTTGGAATCTAAATAATAGATATGAGTTACATTGTACCGATAAATATAGGATATATAGCTGTCATTGTGTCTCTCTTAGTACAGTGCTCTTTCGTCTACGTTTTTCCTTCTGTACATGAAAACAACTTTATAAATACACATTTACCTGTTGAATTCCAACTTGAGCTCTTCGCTTATATTTTCTAACTAGTTTATAAGTAGAAAAGACGACGAAGGGAACGACGAGTTTGAGAAAAGTTGTCAATCCACCATAAAGACCCAAAATCGTGGTGATAACAATGATAAAACTGCCTGGCTCGAATATTGTCACTGAACAATAATCAGGTTTACATTGTTCAAAAAATTGATTATATGAGACACTTGATGAACACGTTTCAACAAACATTTGTTCAACAATAGAGTTTACGGTATCGTCTGTAGAAAAACGAGTTTCACTCTTGTTCAATGGCACAAGATGACTAGATAAAGACATATTCAAATAGGTAGTGAGAAGATCAATGCAAGGCTGTTCGTAGAGACATTCGAGTGTACTTTGAAGGAGTGATTCAAGTGGAGTACAACCAACAAGATAGCCTTTAATGTAAGGTGTTGACGATTGGGTACATGTCGACAATGTTGCGCAATTACACATGTCACTGCCATAATACTGTGGTTTCAGATAAAGCATACTACCCAGATTAATGTTCTTGGTAATATAATACCAGTTTGTTGAATAGGCGGAGACGAATCCATTACCTTGCATCAGACCACGTATAATTTGAAGCGAATTTAAAAATGAATTCGGTAATGTTAACTGGAATTCGTTGAGTGATGCATTTGTCTCTTTCTCGAACAGATCGAAGTCAATCATAAGGGTGGAGATGATGTAGGAAACAAGATATTGTTGTTGAGCATCATTAACAGAATCTTTTACCAAATTACACAAGGCAGCAAGAGCTTGAAAATGACTGAAAATGGTGCCTTGAAGAGTGAATGCGTTTGATGTTGCATATGTCGAATCCAAAGTATTGTATAATTGAAACAATTCCTGTAGATATGCGTCAGAAGTGAAAGGACTCGTACACACTGAATGAAAGTTGCATTGTAATGTGATAAATGATGAATGCGTAATAGACAATCGAGAACATGGACAACTAACGGCATCTGATCCGTAGCGTTGTTGTAACTGCTGATATTGTTCGAGAGATGGTTTTGTTATTGTGAATGTATTCAAATAATAGGTCAACGAAGTGTAGAGCACGATAATGAATAATGAAATGATGAGAAGAAGTAAATAGACATGTGTTGCGGCACATTGTTGTTCAATAGTGATTGTACGATTTGTATCTTCGAATACATTCACTTTCTTAAACCAATCTCGAATCTTAGTACCGACTCTCATAACATGTGACAGAGGAGAAGCTAAAAGTTATTTCAATAAAAATGTTTTAGGTATAAACAAAAGATATTCTTACTCGCTTCTGTGAGTGTTTGTTGATGTTGTGAACACAAGCGCCGAATGACTTCAATACATGCCATGACTAGAAATGGAACAAGAATGCGAAGAGAGACAGACAGTCCACCGATCAGTCCAACAATTCTTGTTATTGTTTCGAGTAGATTATTGCGTTGTGGAATCGTATAGGAACATGACGATGGTTGACATTGAGCAACATAGGATGAATAATTTGTAGAGTTAGACCAAGATTCAATGAACATCTTTGAAAGCAGAGAATCAATTGTGCTGTTTCTCATAAAATGACTTGCATGAGAAGAAGAATTGAGTCGAGTAAAGTTGTTAAAAGATGACACATTATAAAAGTTGATAATAATGTCCAAACAGTCTTGATCGTCGTAGAAACATTTAAGTGTTGATTGTAAAAGTGATTCAACTGGTTGACACGCAAAATAGAACTCAGGTAGTGAATATACTCGGATAGTTGCTGGTTCTCCAATGAATAAGCCTATATTCGATTTACAGCTTGAATCATTTGCACACGAACATATATTGGATGAATTATCATCGTTGTAAGTCATTATAGACAAAGAGGTAGTATAGTTAGGTGGGCCGGCAATTGTAATATTAAAACTGCTACCTGAGCCAGATAGAATTTGGTTCACATGTGTAATATTACGCAGAAGTTGAAGGAAATGTAAAAAGGTGTTTGTAGTTTCCAGTTCAAATTGATTGATAGCAGAAGACATTTGATTTGTAAATTCATCCGCTGTAAGCAATTGAGTACCGACTAATTGAGTTTGTTCAAACCTGTGCAGTGAATTGGCAACTGTTTCAGTAGAAAAATTGCACAGAGCTTTCAGAAGTACAAATAGCGGCTCGGTTGCCATAAAAGCACTACTGTCATAGTAAGTTACACCGGATTGGAACAGGTACTCAATTTCCAGAGCAGATAAAGCATCTATCCAACGATCCGATACGAAATCGCTCGAGCATATTTGATGATAGAATGGCTGGAGTTGAATGAATTGATCATACGGTACCGTTAAATTTGTACATGGACATTGTAGAGAAGAAATTAAGTTGAACTGAGACTGAGTCTGTAATTGTTGTACAGTACTGAATGAAGGTTCGTTGACTTGAATCAGTTTCATTTCGAAGTTCAATAGTCCATAAAGTGTTAAAATGGCAAGAGCAGCAATGAGTAGTGTAATATAGATTCGTGTTGTCCAACGTTGTTGTTTGATATCCGATGGTTGTTGTCGAAGTGCTGATTTGAATAGATTGAGATTAACAAGAGAATGCCATATTAGTTTTGCTAGTGTCTGTACTCGTTGTGTCCATGTCTGCGTTGGTGTCTCTATATAAACAGAAAGTTTTATACGGATAATCTCAACTCAAACTTACCGATATTGTCAGAAGGATGTTGACGCGGTGTTTTAGTGAAATATCGAACTGTGTAGCCGACCACATATGGAATCAGTAATCGAAGAACAACCGATAGACCTCCATACAGTCCAAGAAGAGCAGTAAATATGTATAAAAAGCTCGAGTGTTGATTGATTGAATAAAAACACGACCTTGGACGACATTGAGTAAAATAAAGTGAATAGTTGAGTTCTGCTGAGATATTCTCTATGAATAAATTCGCAAGAGTATCATTGAACGTGACACTTTGATCTGTTGCTTTCTGTATATTCAGAGCGGTAGGTGTCGAATTTGACGACCAATTGAAATATGTTGCTATGGCATCGAGTTCATTTTGATTATTCAAGAAACTGTTGTTGAGTGATGACATAAGGAGTGATTCTAAGGGCCAACAGCCGGCGAACCAGTTTGCTACTTGACGAGTTACGGTGGATGTTGACCAATAAAAATATCCACGCGTGTCGGTGTCCGTATAGTTGTAGAAGGCAGACCACATATTACAAGTGGCAGATACAGAGCACTGGCACTGAGCAATAGTTCCGTGTTGTCCAAATAAAGTTAGGTCTTGTACCCCATACCAGTTTATCCCATCTTCTGAGTACAGTTGTAACATGTAAGCATTTTGAATTCCAGTCATGAATTGATTTCCAAATACGTACATGCGAGCAAATGCAAGAGAACGAAGAAAATTCGCGACGCTACTTGTTCGGAAGGCTTCAGTAGTTGATACCATTTCAGATTCTAAGAAAGACTCACTTAATAAGTAAGCTGAGATGAGTTCATCATCGTAGAACGCTTCAATATCATTATACATAGCCGTTTGTGAGAATTTGCAGAGTTCTCTTAAAACTTGAAATTGTTGACTAGCCGTTGCACGAAAATCTAACACATAGCGCATGGACGTCTGATCATTGAAAAGCATATCGATCCATTTTTGCGAAACGAAGGCACTGGAACATATTTCATGATAAACTGGAATAATTTTGACAAATGAACGATATGAAACAGATATTTCAGTGCATGGACATTTGACGTTCGTGTCGTAGGTATTTTCCAGTTCCAAATATGTTTCGAGAGATGGGCTTCTCACTTCAATTTGTTGTATTTTCACAGCTGATGCATTGTAGACGAGTAGAATGCACATCGCAGACAAAAGAAGCATAATATAAATACGAGTTGACCATCGTTGAATGCTGATCGTCCGTTCATCAGTCAAATCCGTTTCGAAAAGATTCAACTCGATGAAAAATCGTCGCAAACGATTATGACGACATAAGTCATCTCTTCTTTCCATCTCACGTTTCTACAATTGAATTCTCAAAAAAGAAACTTTTGTTAATAACTCTGAGCATATGTTTAGCAAAAAGCGATTTCTCAAATAAAATGGACAACACCTTATAGTTCCCTAGTAGTCTACTTACAATTCTCAAGATTTTTTTTACAAAAGCGTATGCACTAGCAGTAGAGCCCTTTCAATAACCTCAATACTAATTAACAGTTCCTTCGCAGTGCCACTAGATATTATTATACAGCACATCAATCCCATCAAACTGTTGATTAAGGTAAGCATGAGAAAATATCTAAGAAATATTTTGTTTACGGCTTACACTCACACTCTCAATTCTTAATCATTCATACAGACACCAGCAATTAAATGCATCCTTCTCCACATGCTTCTAACAAAATAATTTTTTGTTTCCATCGATTTCATGTGATATGCATGTTGGAGTTGACTTTACAATTCGAAACAGAACTAGTTTCATCTTTAGTGACTTTACAATTTCCAACTCAACTAATCGACTTTAAAACGTAATGCAGTAACTTTTAAGAGTATAGGTGTCAGTGAGATGGCTGATGTGGGTCTAGTCTTGGATGTTATATTGCGGAGATCTCCATGGCAGCGCTGTCCGATCGCTGTCACGAAGGCGTCCGCAGGATAGCAGCGACAGGTTCCAACCATGATCGACGTCTCTGTTATTTTGATCCTTCGCACACATCCTCACCTAAAGTCTCACATCATTTTACACCTGCACTAACCCCAAATCTCACCCTAGGAAGACTGAAAGCTGTGACTAAAAACAAGAGAAAAGCTAGACCGAGATACTTTCGATTTTTTTGTAGACTTGTCTCTTTAAAAGATAACAGTATGAAAAAGCACACACCAATCCATATGGCTCTTTACTGATATCGACGACACGCCAGACAAACTAACAGCGAGCTCATCTGCCTCTCGTTTATTCTACCTATAACAAACTGTGTAGAACCTAGAAGATCCGAACAAGCCATGAAACTTCCACTACGTTTTCGAGGAACCGAAGGTTTCGCGAATATTTTTCTAGACTTCAGAGGATTCGACTATACCCAAAATATTCTTCTACGCTTACAAGGGCCGGAGTGTTCTCGAAATACTCTTGTAGGCGTTCAAGGACCCGAGTATCCCCTGAATATTCTTCTACACTTCCGAGGATCCGAGTATTCCCAGAATATGCCTCGACGCTTGCTGAGATCCTAGTGTTCCTAGAATATCACTCAAGGCTTTCAAGGATCCGAGTATTCCCGGAATATTGCTCAAGGTTATCGAGGATTCGAGTGTTCCCGGAGTATCGATGGTGGCTGTCGACGATTCCAGTATTCCCTGATTATTCTTCTAAGCGCTCAAGGATTGTAGAGTTCTCGAAATATTCTTCGAGACTATCAAAGATTCCAGTTTTCCCGAGATATTCTTGGGTGCGGTCAAGGATCGTTGTATTCCCGGAATATTCTTGGAGGCTCTGAAAATCTAAGAAGTCTTGGAGTATTCTTGTAACCTTTCAAGAATCCAAAAATTCCCGGAATATTTTTGTCGGTTTTCAGGAATCTGGGAAGGGTTGGAATATGCTTGTAGATTTCCGATGTTCCTGGTATTCCCGGAGTATTCTTCGAGACTTCTAAGGATCCTAGTATTCTGAGAATATTTGGTCTAGGCTGCCAAGGTACCGAGTGTTCCGGGAATATATTTGTATGCTCTCGAGGATCTGAGTATTTCCGAAATAGTCTTCTAGGCGGCCAAGAATCGTAGTATCCCCGGACTATTCTTCTATGCTGCCCAGAAACCGAGTATTCGTGAAGTATTCTTCTAGACTTCCAATGAACCGACTGTTCTCGGAACACTTTGGTAGGCTTTCAAGGATCGGATTATTTCTATAATATTACTCTTGGATTTGGAGGTTCCGGGCATGCTCTAAAGACTTTGGTATACGTTTACTATGTGAAGAGGCTTTGAAAAAGTTTAGTAGGCCATAGTAATCCTTGGAAAGTATTGAAAGATTGGAGGAGACCTTATTGATTTTTCGAGGCTGTGGAGGATTGTAGTAGGTTGTTGAAAATCTGATTAGGTCCTGATGATTTGAACAGGGTATGGAGGACCTTAGTATGCCTTGGTAGACAGTGGGAGAACTATAAAACCCCTTACTGACCCTTGAAAGATCGTCATAAACAGTTCATAGATTGTTGTGTCTCCTGACAGATCTTAGAACAAATCTTATATAGAAAACGGTCAGCGTTTCAATTATTTTATAATCCAACACCGCCATGAGGTGACGCTTTCATCGTTTAGAATTCGAAGCGTTCGACAGAATTCTTACAGATATGTCAGTGTATGTTAATGATAGTTAGAAAGGGCATTACGAGGTTTTTCATCATTTAACATAGAACTTCATAAAGTGACAAAAGAGAAACATGAAAAATAAAATAACTTTACGAGTATCACATCTTCTGGCTAAAAGTGATTCGATTGACGACTAGTATATTTTTTTCACTGCCGAACTGTGTCTTTTTTTCTCAATAAAGAGAATCGTAGAGAGCATGCGGGAAGATCAAAACACGAAGATAGAGCAGAGACACAAGAAGAAATTAAGAAATATCGAAAAAGAAAATGGTTGTTTCATTTATTTTTTCGAAACTAAATGGCACTATCATAGGATGAAAAGGAAAGGTGATAAATGGTCATTTAACTTCAGTCTTGAAAATATTCCACTTCATATATTACAAATATCTTATAAAAACTATACATTATGGTCATTCTTGATTTCCTCTCTTTTTATATGTTCATGTACATGCACACACTTACTTCAAGGACAATACCAAAGCAGAGTAATTGGTTTAATAAAGTTTGAGAGCCAAAAAAAAATGTAAATGTATTGCTATAACGTATAAACGCCTTTTTAACTTCCGTATTCCACTGACAGATATTCTCACTGAAAACTCAACATTATATACTCAACAAAGAAAAAAGAAGAAAAGAGTTCCCTTGGTGATGACATATTGAGCATCTAACAGAAAAATACATTCCGATAAGTAGCATGTGTTGAATGAGCTTTTAGCAACGCGAGAGGAAAAACATTGACAAAACTACTAAATGTAGAAAGAAAATAATAAATTAAATATAGTAGAAAATGTTTTTTTCTTCTTTTTATTAACTACAGAAAAATCAGATTAAATAGGGTCTTCGATCTTTAAATCCAGACATAATTATATCTGATCAAATATTTATTCTATAACAGTCTAAGAATGAAAAGTAACTGGATCGCATATTTCCAACAAATGAAAGATTTTCTATGTAGAGACCACCATTCAAGTAAAAAAAACTAATCAATTTGTATATTATGTCTGATTTTCTACACACAATAAAATGAAATTCAACTTTGCTTATGATAGGAAAACTGAAATAATATCGAACTTCGTTAAAAATTCTTTTCTATTCAAATCTCCGAAGAAAGATGAGCTCAAGGACAACAGTTTTAATATCTTAGATCTTTCAATTTTTTGTCATTATGAATTCGAGCATTAATGTGTGAACATCAGGCAAAAGGCTCACTGCATGAACAAGTAACTTGTTATTTTCTGCGAGCGAGTTGTTGTGACAATCAGCTAATATCTACAGAACACAAAAAGAAGTAGATATTCTTTTTCAAGTCATCACCAAAATGGCATACACACATCTAATTGATGAATCATACTGTTAGTAGAGTTAAAACAAATATTCTGGATAGCAACAAACTCATCTTGTTGAAATGTTTTGTTTTATTTGTGTTGTATGCATTTTCCTGGAATAAACATTTTATTTTCTTCTATCATATATACTGTAAACGAGTGTAGAATAACATAATCTTTTCTATTTAAAACAAATCATAATTATTTCATATTTAACAGGATCTGATACCAGGTGCTTTATTGCTATTTTGAAAACTAGTTCAGAAGTCTTTTTTCTTTTCTTCTGAGTAAATCATATGATTAAATTAAATAACTGTAATGATTATAGTACAAAGAAATGAAGTGTTTTTTTTCTGTTCTTCAGCTCAAAGAATATAGTATTACAATCTCTCCTAAAGTGATTCGTTTTATTCAATTCTCATCGTTAACTTCAATGTTTCTAATATCATTTCAAATACTTTAATATATTGACTTCTTAACGAGTTTATATTTAACAATTGTTTTATGAAATGTCTTACGAAAGCAATTGATCTTTTTGATTAAGATAATAGTTATGATATATTGAAGTAGAATTTTATATTCAGATTAACACTATAGCCAAAGATAATTAATTATATCTTAACTATCTTAAATCAAACGTTTTTTATTTTTTAGTATTTGTCCTCGAAGTTTGCTCGTCGTTCACTTTAGTTAGAAAACAGTTTTTTTCTTCCTTTTTAAATGATGGGAGCATTTTCTTACTTTTAATTACATGAAAATGTTTATTCTAGAGAAAGATGGTATCCAATTGGTTACACGTAACTTCATGAGAATATATACTTCTTTTTGTTTTACCCTCTCATAGAAGCCATCGATATATTCATTTATATACTCACAAAGGGAACCGTTCGAGGTGATTCGGAGCTGTGATGCTGGGATTTTGCGTATAAGTAGAGTTCGATGAAGTTAGAC